GACGTCGTCCTCCGGGAGCTTATTCTTGTTCTTCTTTTTCTTCTTCTTCTTGTCGATGGCCTTGTCGCGGGTGGCCAGCTCGCCGCCCTTGAAGGCCAGCCTTCCGCCTCCCACCCTTTCAAATTCTGAATAAGTAAATACATACAAAGTTCGATACTTTCCTGAAAACAGCTAATGGTTCTACATATTGATATTAGAGCAACAAAATATGTTATCATAAACAAAATGATGAAAACTTACCTTTTTTCCCCTGCTTTGAAGTTATAACTAATAAGGAACCACTTTATTTGGCAACAGGTTCTGCACTCTTCGGCCGCCTGGCCGACTCGTTCTTAGGAAGGAAAAGATCTGTTCTACTTTCGTGCCTTCTAACCTCCGTCACCATTTTCCTCACCTCACTCTCGCCGAATATATGGGTTTACTCCCTTCTCCGTTTTGCAAACGGGTTTTCACGGGCGGGCATTGGGATAAGCTGCCTCGTCCTCTCCACAGAGGCCGTGGGTCGAAGGTGGCGTGGCCAAGTGGGCCAGTACGGTTTCTTCTTCTTTGCAGCGGGCTTCCTCTCGATTCCCTTAATAGCTTACCCGACAAAAAACTCTTGGCGAGATCTGTACAGGATTATCTCGCTCCTTCCGCTCGTTTACTCGGTCTTTATACTAATGCCCTTTGTGTCGGAATCTCCAAGGTGGCTTCTCATTCGGGGCCGAAGTGAAGATGCCCTCGAAGTTTTGAAAAAATACGCAAGGATTAACGGGAAGGAATTGCCTCCGAATTTAACTCTTTTAAAACCATCTACCAACATGAAAATGAATTTCACGAAAGGGGACAAAAACACCGAGTCTCAGTCTCCTATCGATAAATTTTGGAATACTAAGTGGGCCGTGAGAAGAATGGGTGTAGTCATGCTCACGGGCTTCGGGGTCGGTTTCGTTTACTACGGGATACAACTCAACGTAGAGAACCTCGATTTCAATCTCTACCTAACTGTAGCAATAAATGCAATAATGGAGATCCCGGCAGTTTTTATAGGCAGCGTGCTCTTGAGCTTCACAAACCGACGCCTTCTTTTCTCGGTCTCGTCTTTTGTTGCCGGGCTTTCTTGCCTTTTCTGCATTATTTTCTCAACAAATACAGCAAACAAATCAAAAAAGGGAGGAAGCTTGCCTCAGCTCATGGTCGAGGCTTTTGGTTTCATGGCAGCCTCGACAGCTTTCGACGTGCTGTACATATACTGTGTGGAGCTTTTCCCGACAAATGTGAGGAATTTTGCCGTGTCAATGTTGAGACAGGCAATAATGCTGGGGGCCTCGATTTCGCCTCTCCTGGTCGTGTATGGGAGACTGAGTCCTTCTCTATCGTTCTTCGTGTTTGGAGTTTTATCTGTCGTGAGTGGATTCTTGAGCCTGTGGCTGCCCGAGACTAGGAATTGTCCTCTGTACGAAACTTTGGAGCAACAAGAAGAGGAGGAAAGGTTAGAGGGTTGTGTGTGTTTAGAGTTAGAGATGGAACCGGGCAAGAAAGTGCAAATGTAAATGATTTGTTGACTGCACTGTGTTTACGTGTTTGTGTCCTTAATAATGTCAGGTGAAGATCTGTATCAAGTTCTTGAAGGAATACAAAAGTAACAAAACATAGGTTTGCCATGCTTTGCTTGTTTAAACTTTGTACAGAACATGTGTTAACATCTCTACTTCTAAAAGGAGAATGTTTGGTTCTGTAATTAGATCATCCCTCTGCAATAAGAAGCACAATGAATAGGCTGTCTCAAGAACACGATTACGACACGAAACCAACATTAATTTTACCCTAAAAAAGAAGAGATTTTTACTGTAAGCTATAAGATGATCCAGCATCAAGACTGTTGTAAGTCTTGCTTGTCCCTGCAAAACTTACTCTCTAAATCCGGTGAATTGGTTCTCATATGCAGAATCATTCTCTTTTCATTTCCTTTTTAGGGTTTTGCAGTGATAAAAAACACAGATATATTCAAGAAATTCAGACAGAATTAAACCAAAAACAAATAAATTCATGAAATTCAGACAGAATTAAACCAAGGCAATGTAGAAATCCTAGATTTATTACGAAGAAAAAAAAAACAGAAAAAAAAGAGGCCAGACTTTGATTAATAAGATACTCAACAGGAGCCCAATATTTTCACAGTACCAGCAACATAGCAAACACAAAGCAGAAAAATTCGATTTTTATTTTTTTAAATTTATTTACAGTAGCGGTCGGCCTTCTTCTTGACCCGGTCGTCTAGGGCTTCCTCGACGGACTTCGCCTTCGCGTTCGGGTCGTACCCGAATTTCCTGGTCTCCACGGGGAAAAGCTCCTCGTACTTCATCTTCTTCGCGGCGTCGATGGTGTACACGTCTCCCTCACCAGAACCCTGTTCGACAACAGTGATGCTCGGGTCGCCGGCGGGGACGTCGTCCTCTGGGAGCTTATTCTTGTTCTTCTTTTTCTTCTTCTTCTTGTCGATGGCCTTGTCGCGGGTGGCCAGCTCGCCGCCCTTGAAGGCCAGCCTTCCGCCTCTCACCCTCTCGTACGCCTCCGACATCGTCGTTCCACTGTACTAAGTGCTGATCGGAAATTGGGATGAAAATATCTGTCTCCGAGTCACGGACGGGAATTTATCAGAGCCAATTGGTCGGTTAAATTGGATCAAAGGGTCTAATTTTGAAACCGACTTTTTTAATTTATTTTTATTCTTACTAGGGCTCGTTTAGAGATGAACCGATTTACTCAGCTTTTATCAAATATGGGCTATTTTTAGTGGTTTGGTTCTTAATGTCTACAAACGGTTTCGGTTTTCATACACGAGTCAATTATTAGTCTTATCGAGTAAGACTGATTTCTTTTACCTGCTCGTCTTGAACTCGAACTCGATTTATGACGCTCGACTTGACAAAAGAAGACAACCGCTCAAGCTCGGCTGGAAATCGATTGAAATCAAAATACTCAAATGATTGCTCGAGCTCATCTTGAGTTCGACTTGAATTTCAAATAAATTTACCATTAAGTACATATATAAAATAATATAATATTTATACATAAAGAGTAGTTTATTAAGTCACTACATATCTCGAGTTGCTCGTTCGAGATCGACTCGATAACATGCTCGAGCCGCTCGAGCTCGCTTCAAGTTCGGTCAAACTCGAGCTGGAGCTAAGCTTTGACTCGAGCGCTCGCGAGCGTCTCGATCCGTTTGCAACGCACACAACCTTGAGTTTCGTATGCGCCAAAAATAATGGTACATTACATGCAGTTTAGTTGTTTTGGTCAGATTTAGTTAATCAATATCTCGTGGAGATTCCCCCTACTCTTTATAAGCATTATTGGCAGAACAGTTTGCTTATACTGCACACTGGGGAACACTTAATTCTGTTCAACATTATGGATATGCTAATCACATAAATCATCTTTCATAGAGCACAACAGAAGAACACAGTCAAATAACTGAATTTGCACCATGGGAAGAACTATAGTCTATAAAAGTGATCGCTCCAAAAATACTAAAGGCTTTACAACACTTGGTAAAAAAAAAAAAATAAAGATCAGTGTACCAACAATGGAGCTTATACATATTAAGAGTTCTCCTACACATTGACCCTAAATGCTCACATTTGATCCATTACTTTTTCTCAGCAGCCATCTTTTTTTGTATCTCAAAGGCCGTGTTGAATATTCCATTCGTGGGCTGGTCACATACAAAGCACTTCTTATTTCTCGCGTGATGCTGACGACAAACAAACAAAACAAAATCAAAAACCAATATTCCAATTTTACTCTGTAGACAATATCCAAATATCAGAAAAAAAGACAGGAAAAAAATATAGCATTACCTTCAACGCACAATGCTCACAAAAATAATGCTTGCACCTAGTCACAACAGGATCCACAAAAGGCTCCCTGCAGATAAAACAAGCAAACGGCAGTGCATCCTCATCATCATCACTTGTCCCCTTCTCATCACCGTCATCACCATCATCCTTCATCCCCATAGCCATTTTTCTTAACCGCGCCTTCTCCTTTTCCTCCCACTCTTTTTCCAGTTGCCAGCCCGACTTATAATCACCCCTGTCATGCATAAACTTGCAAGAATCCCCATATCCACAGTAACCTGTCTCCTTATAATCTTTGCAAATGTCAGGCTGATAGTCAAATCTTGCAGAAACCCTTATGTGGGCCGAGGCCCTAAGGGGCCCATGGCCCCACTGGCCTTCTCACTAGCAACCGTGTGCTCTCTCCTGAACCCAGCCTTGTAGTCAGTGTACCCATGCATGCCCTTATATATCTTTTCTGACCCGTCAGCTTTGTTTTTACCCTTGAGAGCCTCCTCGGCTTGCTTAAGGACTCTCTCTCTGATGGCATGTGCATCTCTAGAGAACTCGGTCTCAGTTTCCAGGGTGGCCGTGGCCCGGTTATCGTTGTGGACCTGGATTTCTCTGGACGACTGGTATTTGAAGACCGTGGCTTTGGGTTTATCCACCTCAGATTCTTTCGAGGTCTTAGCCGATCCGCTTGAGAAACGGAGCTTGTTGTCCGAAGCCACTTGCTTCTTCTTGTTGATGACAATTGTGGATTCTTCTTCCTCACGTTCACCGTCTCCTTCTTCAGTGGAGGTTCGTTTCCTGATGTTCTTTCCCTTTGCTGGCTTCCTGAACAAATTGCACACTGAAATCGAACATGCAATGAAATGAAAACATGAGAAAAATACGTAACTCTTCCAGAAATGAGAAAAATCTAATCAAAGTTCAAATAATTATAGTGGCTATCCAAGAACAACAAGAATATTCAAAAAGTTCCAGTTAAACGATTTAACTATTAACTCAGATACAAACCAGAGTCGTTATAAGAATAGAAACCAGGAAAGAAACAAGATGTCTTAAATGAACAAACACCCACGAAATTAAAGCATTAAATCAAGGAAATTCACGCAAACGATAATTCAGAATAAGGACAGTATTGAAGAAACCATAATTGGGCAAGGGAAGGAAAGAATCAGCATATACCAGTCGGAGCTTCTTCCAGCATGGAGGAACTGCCACCGCCTCCACCAACTGGTTCGTTAACAGGAATTTGTCTGGCCAATCCATCCTCTTCCTTTATTTTTCTGCTCCTCTCTTCTTTTCCTTCTTCCTCTTTGTTTGTTCTTCGTTCTCTATTGCAAAATGAATGATTTATGAAAAACTTACAAAATCAGTCAAATGCTATCATAGAACCACACAAACATATGTTATATAAGCTGAACTAGAAAAATGCCGTTGCGAAGCAATTCAATAATTAAACCTTCACATATCCATTTTTCTTCTTTTTTCATGTTAGGTCAAGCCTCCTTCAAGTATGAACTAATAATTGAGTATAAAAAAGATTAAAAAACCCATTCTCTTCCTTCTTTTTTGTACAAAGAGGAAAAGGTCTCGGATTCCATATATGTGAAGTTCTTTTCCCACAAATAACAAAATCCTGGTACACCATTGCAAATTAAAATTTCATATATGGAGTTAATAAAGCTATTATTAATTCTGATATTGAAGCAGCTTTTCAAATCTTTTTCTTGTACTTGAAAAGCATAGTTAATAAAACGATTCTATCATCCAATAAATTAATATCCATTCTAAATTTAAATTCTAACAACAATAGGTAAACAACCCGAGCTTAACCAGAAGGGGCATTACATTTAACGAAATAAGATGAAAACAATCTGGACATGGTGTTTTCTACTTTCTAGTCTGCCTGCATTTATTTTATTTATTCATCGAGGCAGCAAAACATTCAGTTTGATGTTAGATATCAATCCTGGACCTCCTCAGGTTGTTTCTTCCTTGAAGCCTAAAACCACCCAAAGGCAGCAGTAATCGTAACAATATCGGGCAGCCATAAAACATTACCTACATTAGCTGTCTGAATGCACTTCATGTGATTGATGCAGTGAATGGCATATAAATGAAGATAGCTTCTTTGCCAGTTGCAGAGTAGCAAAGGGCATGAATTTTGGAATAGAACAACAATCTATCTTTGATTACAGTTGAGTAATCTTAAGGACATGTCACATTGTAACAGCTCTCAATCTAGTAGAGCGAAGCCAAAAATCACAAATTCCAACAAGAAACGTGCAATCATTTGTTGTTATATGATTTGCGTGTGTTGTAGATATCACCTTATCCGGATGTTCTCCGTCGGCCGAGATGGACGGGATGCTTACCGGAAGTACAAAACCCCCCCTCTTTCTCCCTCCGCCGGCGGAACTGACAGAACATCGACCGAACACTCTTAACCCTTCCCCTCGCGGCGAGCGGACGGAATGCTCTACGAAAGTACAAAACTTCTCTGTCTCTCTATTTTCACGGCGGCCGGGACCGACAGAACTGTATCAGAACTCTTTTCCTCGTCTCTCTCGGCGAAGACGGCGGATAAGGGTAATGTAGTATTCAATTGGCTATATTTGCTATTTTGTGGTATTACCAATTTACCACTAACATACATTTATATGTTTTCCCCGTCTTTGAATTTGAATACCGCGAAACCCAAGAGCCGCCGTCACGGAGGATGATCAGAGTCTGCCGGCCATGGGCACTCCACGTAAGAAACGCCCGAAACATTGTCGCAATTCGAACATGCATTTTCCCCTCGAGGCGTAAACGGCAACACACACTTCACGGCCTCCACACGACCGCCGCTGCCGGCAAACTCACCTCGGGTTTTGCTAAAAGAGATGATCCCACCAACATCACCAGTCCAACCTCGACCTACGATTATAACGTCCGGATGGCGGAGATTGGCCGCCGAGCAAGCGCCGACGCCGCGCGCAAGCTGTTCGACGGAATGCCCAAACGAGACAGGGTGTCTTACGCCTCGATGATCAGCATTTATCTCAAGCACGATGAGTTTCACAAGGCGGAGAAGCTTTTCTACGAGATCCCTGAGGACATGAGGACCATCGTGGCTGATTCTGCTATGGTGGATGCCTATGCAAAGGCGGGCCTTATGGATCGAGCCAAGGACGTATTTGACAAAATGCCCGAGAGAAATTCGTTCTCCTGGAGCAGCTTGATCTCGGGTTATTTTAGAGAGGGGAAAGTCCATGCTGCCCTCGAATTTTTCGCGAAGATGCCTGAGAGAGACAAAAACGAGATTACATGGACGAACGTGATAACGGGCTTCGCGCAGAATGGGCTGATTGATGAGGCCCGGCATGCTTTCGACCAGACGCCTGTGAAAAATGTGGTGATGTGGACCTCGATGGTGAAGGCTTACATCGAGAATGATCAGGTTGATGAGGCATTTAAGCTCTTTAGGGAGATGCCAGAACGTAATTTGTACTCTTGGAACATTATGTTGCGTGGGTTTTTGGATGACGGCAGGATAAACGAAGCTAACAGGCTTTTCAACTCAATGACCCGTAAGAATGTGATTTCTTGGACAACTATGGTCACGGGCCTCGCGAAAAATGGGATGACTGATTTGGCAAGGATATACTTTGACCGGATGCCGAATAAGGATGTCTCTGCTTGGAATGCAATGATTACGGCCTACACCGACACGGGCCGCATGGTCGAGGCCCGCGAACTTTTTGACTCGATGTCCAAGAAAAATGTCGTCACTTGGAATGCAATGATTCATGGCTACTCCATGGATCAACAAGCGGATGAGGCCTTTTGTCTGTTTAATTCCATGCGCCGTGACTCCATCGGGCCAAAGGAGACGAGCCTCACGAGCTTGCTAACTTCGTGCAGTGGAATTCTGGGTGTTGTTCAAGTACACGGGCTTATAGTGCAACTCGGTTATGAAATAGAGACATCTCTAGCTAATACTCTAATCACCGTGTACTACAGGTGTGGTGACATCACCTCGGCTCGGGTTGTTTTCGACAATCTTAAAGCAAAGGACGTCGTGAGTTGGACCGCAATAATATCTGCATACTCCAATCACGGGCTCGGCATGTGGGCCCTGCAGGCATTTGCTCGGATGATAAGGTCGGGCCATTCCCCTGATGGG